CCCCAAAACCCCAAAACCCCAAAACCCCTTTATTATTATTAAATTTATAAAATATTGCACTAGTAATGACTATGATTAGAAAAATCCTATCTAATGGAAGTAATGTGAAAACAGGTAGATCCTTAAGTTTTCTTCATAAGAATTAATTCTTTTGAATATCATATTTTTTGTTATAAACTTAGGTATTTCAGCTAGTTAAATTTTATGAGAATCTGTGAATTAATATAAGTTTAGAGGATGAAAGTAGAATAAACTTAGTAGAAACCATTGAATCTGCAACTGAAAATGAAGACGATCTCTATTTCGCTACTATAAAGGTGATTTTTATAATTTTATTTTTAGAAATCTTCAAAAGCAAAGGCACAACAATCATATCATAGTAGTATGAAGCCTCCAAGGTACCCTACTATCACACCTAATAATCCAAAAATGCAAAAGTTGTACTCCTCAGAAATGAGTGAGAATGGAGCCAATAGGATCTCTTACAGTAAGTTCTATTACTAACATGACAGACTCTCAGCCTTCTCAAGGGAGGGGTACTACTTCTTCATTTCCTTCAATTGCTAAGAAGATAAATCAAGGCCATCTTGTGAAGCTTTCAGAACCTTTTACTAAAAATAAAGGGTCTATGCACAAGAGATACCTGTCACACACTACGAAACTAAAATAATGAGCTTGGTAACCCTCAGTTAAACTGGAAATAGCATTTTAGATAAACTGGGTTTATATTATTCACTTTTTATGACATTCAGATCAATCATTTGTGATGCAGAGCTTAGTTTTATCCATATTTATAGGAAAGAAGCAACCTGGGATAGTTAATATGGGCCACCGAAAACTCAGAAGCATTAATATTGGATTTAATAGAAAGATATCTGAAAAGTATAAAATGTTTGAAGACTTTCAAAGGGAAATGCAGGTAATTCATTAAAAATGTTTCCTTTGTAATTTTGTAAATATTTATTTCCTTTCCCTCTCTATAGGTCTCCAGGAACCTTTAGGAATTTATCTTTAATAATAATTGAGGGTACTTCTAGGCTCCGCACAAACTTTATTAAATCTTATTACAATTTGATGATTTATTCGATAAAAATAACTCAATGTAAATACCCACATGCCAATGGATTTTATTACAATTTAGAGTATTCAGGTTTAGCTTAGCTATTATTCGCTAACCAAGAAATAATTGGTACAATCTACTTTGAAGGTTTGGTATCTGCATCAAGCATAGTGATCTTAATGAACCTAAGGTTACCCTCTCACTTTTATTTATTTGAACAAATAGTTTTGATAAGAAAGTTAGAATGAGTGAAGCATTCTTCAATACATTTTCAACCCTTTAAAAGTCAAGGTGTTTTCTAGAATACTTAAAACAGTCATTGGACTTGTAAGCTACCTGATTTTTAATCTAATGTTGAGTTAAAACCTTATGCTATCTAAGAATAAGTCTCAAGTGTGGTTTTATTAACCCAATACGTTAAATGTTGTCTCTTCATTTTAACTATTTTAGGAACTTAATATCAAAAGCCAAGCCAATAAGATTGTTAGTGGTAAAGCAAAGCTAAAACCATTGATAATAAAGAACGAGAAGAAGAAAAAGAAAGATAAAAGGGACTTTTGGATGAACTACATTCCAGCTTTGGCAACTGATATCTATGACTTGCCGTGGAGTCGGTCTATTGATCTACTAAATCCCAAGTAATTATATTGTATTAGTTTCAGAAAAATAATGTTTACTTTCTTCGTAAAAGTGTATAATTCTTGCTTGAATTCTAGTTTAGCTTACGTTGTGAATTATAGATTTTCATACAATGACTTTTTGCTGGACTTGAAAACAGAGAACTGACAAGAAGGTAAAAAGTTTTATGCTCGCCCCCAGCTAGTCAGTAGAGTAATGGCTTCAGTTTATTTTTAGAGCCTCCCTTCTCCCAAAAAGACAGGGGAGTTATATGAACTTGAAGCAAAGAATAGGTATTTAGAATACCTACTTGTCAATCAGTAAAGTTTATATTGACGCAGTAGGAATAATAAAAACTTGCCAAGAATGAAAGTGGACACTCGAGATCAGTTGGTCAGGGTAGCTTATCCATACTTATTTTTAGGACCAATATGTTGAAAAGTTACAGAACAAGATCAATAAATACTCACAGGAGCTACAAAGAGTTTCACCTGTTAAAGAGCCATCTGAAAAGGATGCTAGCAGACACAATACTGCTTTAAGTAAACACTTTGATTAAAATTCAGAAAAGGAGACTCTGCAGTCACGGATGAGTGGAGCAAGTAAAAAGCAACTCTCTAAATCAGGAAGTAAATAAAAGTTTGAGCAGACAGAACTCTGCTGTGTCCAGGAGTATGGTTCAGCTTTAATGGTATAGGGAGTAAAAATAATGACTCAAGGGCATCAGTACGAAGAAAATCAAAACTCCAACTTCCCTTCAGCATGCTCAAGGTTGTTAAGAAGTTGAAGAATATTAGTAATGAAATCAAACAGAAAAAGAAGGAGGAAGAGAATGAAGAGCATAAGTATAGTGAAGAGTCATTCGGTATTCATAGCTCTTACTATTTGTAGGTATGACTGTGAAGAGCAAAGGAAAGAGAAACAAGGTTGACAAGAAGATTGTTGATAAAGCTTTAAAAGATTATTTTAAAAACAAGATCCATGAGTTCAACAACAAAAAGTATCAATTTAATCAAATTTGTTTAGGAAGAAAAAGACAAAGAGGGATATCAACAAAGGTCTTCTAGGTTTAGCCCTAAGCAAAGCTAAGAATTTTAAGAAAAAGAAAGAGAAGAAGGTAAAAAACTCAAGACATAATCCATCTGCTAGTGAAGATTTTATGAGTGCTGTAAGCCAGCTTACGTAGTTTTAAATAGAACTTTGAATAAACAGGCAGTAATTATTCAATATTCTGCTTTATTTATGGGGTTTTGGGGTTTTGGGGTTTTGGGGTTTTGGGGTTTTGGGGTTTTGGGG